GGCTGCCCCCATGGCCATGGCCATGGTGATGACAGCGGGAAGACAGCTCAGCGGCATGGAAAAAGCAAGGCAAGATCGCCACACCCGTTCCACTAAAACGCTCTCAAGCCGGAGCTGCAAGCTCAGAACATTTGCACGCTGTGTCTGGGTCCAAAGTCCATTTGCCACAAGAGTACAAGCAGTGTGCCTGTACCTGAGGCCGGCATCGCCACCTATAGTCCTTCCTTCAAACCAAATGTTGCTTGTTTTGCGAGGAGAAACAAGCAGCTATGCCCTTTGGCACTCAAACGAAAAGCATTGACGCAAAGCCTCTTTTGGCGCTTCGGTTTTGGCCTCACCGGCCTCGCCCATTTCGGCAGAGAGAGAGCTCACTTGTGGAGCCAAAAAAGTTCAAAGTTGTGGGAAAAAGAAGTCTCGCATTATCCCTTGACGTCTGCACTTTGAGGTCTGTTTGAGGCCTCTGTGCCCTACTTCCAAGGTAATCAAAATGCAACTAAAACACGGACAATCAACTGGTGCGATCACCAAATTCACGCAACTTGGCACAGGCGCCCAGGCAGCGTCAATTCCCATGATGTGTGTGTGTGTGTGCCGCTGAACGCTGGTCAAACATTGGAGTCAGTCAACGGATTTGCTGCTTTGCCATGGCGCCATCTAGACAAAAGGAGAGGATTAAGTGAGTGGCCTGCACGGGCTAACCATGCAATCATCTACACATCAGTTACTTGCCGTCTGGCAGCTTAGTCTCACGTGTCACATAGAAAAGCTATTCCGAAGACCAGTTTGTCCAAGCAAAGCCACCAAGCCTTTGCCAGAGCCCAAAGTATGCACTTCCAGTCTTTGAAGCCTACACGAGTTGGTGTGATGCAGAAGTGTGCGTGTGCGCGCACGTGAGCGCATCGAGTTTTTGGTTGTTTTTTCGTGATCAAAAGTGGGTGTTCAAATTGTGAACTAACGGCTACGTCAGCACAGTCGGATGACTTGTAAATTTGGTTTGTTCAGTACATCTGGACCAAATGGAATCCGTCAGAGCATGGTTCCATTTAGCAAACACTGAAGGCATGGACTTTCCTCGACTTTAGCCACTAATTGCCAGTCGAATGGCCCCAGCTCACAGCAAGAATCTCTGTATGTGTGTGTGGGTGCCGGGGGAATCATCACTTGAGTCTACTCCTTGACTCGCCAACTACCAGGAACAAGGACGCTACTAGGGGCTCCTGGCATCGCTACTAGGAACAAGGAAGCTACCCAAATCCGTGAACCTCCGACAGCGAAGGTCCGCCCTCGCAGGAACGGTCCCGCGCCGGCCGGAAAGGTGGCCTTCTTGGGCGCGACCCCCTTCATTCCCCAAAAAGCTTGGGAAACAAGATTCTTTAGTAGTTTTGGCCACAACTGTAGTTTAAACATGTTCAAAGTTCAAAGTACCTCGGAGCCTACAGAGTGACCTTGGCATGTTGTCGTGTTTTATGATAGTATCCCCGCCTGCTGTTTGACAGCGCCTGGAATGACCCCAAGAACCTAAAGAGCCTGGACCTAAAAACTCTCAGTGAACCGAACCACTTCTTTTAGGTTTCGACGTGCTGGGGGAAGTGTTTGACGTGAAGTAGTTTGGTGTCATGAACAATCTTTCTGAATCATTCTGGACAACCCCCATTAAAACAGTCAAGAAAGCAAATCTGTTTTTGGCCTGCAAGTGTGCAAACCAGGCTAAGCCATAGAAGAACCCAGTCTTTGTGGAAAAGGTGTGTGTGTGTTTCTCACAGCAAACAGGTTTCCCACAAACAGGTTTCCCACAGCTGCTTTCAGCCGACCGCGCGAGCGTTTGCCACTGCAGTCACGCACAAACAACTTGTTCAACTTTCAAGTGAACTGACTTTCTCGCCATGCCGTTCCTTCACCATTTTCGACCTGGGAACTGAGTTAACTGAATACAAGTGTCAGAGTGTGTCAACCCCTGTTCCTAAGGGTTCTGAGGTCCTTTTTCCACCACTACGGCAGGGGGGCAGTGATCCCTTCAGCAGTCACTGCCTAACAAAGACGCTGCTGATCGGATGTGATATTCGGAGAGGACGCTCTCTGAACGTACCTGCCGAAGTTTTCGCAAGCTGTCACCCTCCTTTTCCACGGTTTGGTTCATGGTTCTTTCACGATACTTCCCCAACAAACTGGTTTCCACCGCGCGTGAGCTGTCGCTGAGTCACTGCAGATGAGCTTTAACACTTGTTCAACAATACTTTTCTGCGGACCCATGCACCTTTCCGTTCCTTCACCTTCCTTCTCGACGTCGGAATTGAGCTAACTGAAAACCAATGTCAGAGTGTGAACCGCTCAGCCGTCCCACTTGGGTGCTGGGTGTGATCCTCCGCAAGGAGGCGCTGCAATCATTCCGGAATTCATGTCACTGACTCTTCGTTTTCACCACTCGTTGGATTCTCTTAACCGCTTTCTTTCCTTCCTGAACTAACTGCCTTTTGAGCCGCCGGGCTAATACGGTGATTGCTTTTTTGAATACTGAACCTCCAGCATGTCATTTGCAGCCGACCTTTGAGTTTCAAGTGTGTACAGTCGCTTCACCTTCAGTCTCTCACCACAGATTTTCCACACATTTGACTCACCACTAGCAGAGTTTCATCTCATGCCATTTCATAATCGCGTTTTCAGACACTTTTCAACTTTCATTCGCTGCCGGGAGCGCTGCGCGGGCGCCATTTTTGCAGCTGACCGGGACTGCTGCTACTACGAACACAGTCCCAATGCAATACCCGTAACCATACCCATACTTGACACATCAACCACCACCTACAACAGCACCGACATTTCCAATCCCACAGACGCAACCTCATATGCCTCCCATGATTTCGCACATGCCGGCTACGATACCACACCACCACCACAACATTTGCCTCCAGTATCACATCATCACACCATTCCTTTTCCATATACACTACCTCCACAGGAACCCATACCACCACATTCTCCAACCATGGCGCCCCCACAACCAGCACCGGTTTCGAACGCCCAACCAACCCCCCAGCAAGTCTCCCAACCAGCACCAACGCAAGGAGTTTGGCGACCATTTTCGGCCTTTCCACCAGTCACCCAACCCAACAGGGGCACGTTCCTCCAGGCCATGTTCAGCCAGGCACCACTTCGGCCCCTTCGGATCCTTCTCACCTTACAGCAACACCTCCCACTGCAGCGACTGCGGGTCCACAATCACCCGCATCCACAGCCCCTTCAGCACCAGAAGGCCACACTACCACAACCGTTGACCAAACATCCTCAACTCTTCTACCTCCACCGACCACACCTCCACCCACCACTCCAGCAGGTTCAGTTCAGTCAGACAACCCCAACGATACACGCACCACAACCACCCACGCCACCCAAAGCTCTCAGCCGCCGTGCACGCGGCCACCGCCGACACCATCACCGCTGCCACCGACATCACACCAGGGGCAGACGCACCCGCCGTCACCGCACAACGCAAAAACACCAGTCATCGCGACACCACCGCTCGCGATCCCCTTCCACTTCGTACTACTCTTATTATTCTTCCAGCAGATCACGCAGCCGCTCCAGACAACCCATCTCACTTCTCCCCAACAACGACTCACTGCAACAAGACGCTGTCACAAATCAATCACAAACCAGCTATCCCAACATTAGAGCTCTTCGCAGGCCCACCAAACCTTGGCGGCCATCCCCACAATTCCAACAACGAACACCACAAGAACAGTTGGAACTTTGGCTTGATTATCACGCAGACCAACTTGACGCACCCAACAAACCCCAACACACCTATGTCGCCAGCTTGCTACTCGACAGCGGCCTCACATACAAAGACAGCTCTGACTACAGGCAATTCACTCACATCAAATGGAATGACACCACCAACACCCACGACATTTACCAATACCACTGCATTACCATTCCCAGCCTGGCACAAAAAGCAATTCGACGTTTCCCACCACCAGCGACACGTGCAACTTCTACCTCACCAGAACTGGTCCACATCAATGCCGGCCACACTGGCCCTCTCGGCAACATCACCAACATCCTTCAACAGGGCCGTTTCCTGCCCAGCACCCTCCACTTCCCCAACAACCCTGGGTTCTTTGCCCAGGGCGTTCGCATCACACAACAACCACAACATGACAACGCAGAACATGCCCGTATTCTCCACAACACTTGGAACCTCGCCAAGAACACACATTCCATCCTTGTCACCTTACTTGCTTGGGGACAGAGTTTACCAGCGGCGGGGAGGAGCGCGCCATGAATCTCCTCCTACAAGACCACGGTGCCGTTTGCCGCCCGATGCTGGGTCATACACCCAGACAATGCGATTGTCAAAGGCTTGGCGTGGTCTGTGAATTCCACTCCACCTGACACTTAACTCTCCACAGCAATAACTTCCACCATGATTGGCCATCTTTTCACCAGTTTCATGCCACACCACATACCTATCGCTCGGCGAAAAAAGACCGAGCGCTGCCAGAATTCATTTTGCAGCGGTCACTTCGCTCCAAATTCTGTTTGGTACACAGCATGCCGGTCTTCTTGGACCACTTTCATGCTACGACCTGCGGTTTCATGTTTTACCTCCCTAGATTGTTCATGTGTTACTTGGGATGAAACCCACTTTTGCTGCAGGGTTCGTTTTTCTTCACCTCGTTCTGATGAGAGATTTTTCTGGAATGCACTGTACCATGTTGCACTCATTGGATTGGACCAACTTCTTGCGGCATTTATAAAGGCGCCTCGTTTGCTGCAAAATTCGCGCTCGATAATTCACGCGCGTGCTTCAGCCAACCGTTCATGCTGCCTTTGCCCCCGCGCCCAGCTTGCCGCGCTGCCGTGCCGCTCTTCACGAACATATATTGGCCAAGCTTTGAGACACGATGAACAACAGCAGTTTACTTCATCGCACCACCATTGCTCTTACACAACTACACCGCCTTCTCCAGCAAGCAACAGACCTTCTGGCAGACCTCCACAGTCTATACCTGCTCCATACTGGACAGGTTGACAATCACTTCCAACGTTCCTTTCCACCTCTTCCACCGCCTCCTTCTTTTATCATTCCGTTACCATCACCCACATCTTCTTGCGATTCAGCACCAGTCCGCAGACAGTCTCTGACGCCACGCAAACCACCAGCGTCTCTCGATTCTTCTTCCCCCTCTCCTACACCACAGCCACCACAACCAAAGAAACGACGACAACCAGCACCACCATTGAATTCCCAAGCCAATTGGGACCATTGGGATGGAGACGCGGATTGCCGCCTGGTCGAGCCCCTCACCTCCGCCCCAATTGGAATTATGTTGCCCGACGTGTGGGCTTTAAATTGAGCAGTGCAAAGCCCGCTGGCAAGGACTTCAAGAATGGCAAACATTCCACGATGCCTCCACAACACCTCACCCTTCTTCTCCACATCCTTCACCAGCCATCTCCCCCACTCCTACATCGCCAGCACAAACACCACCAGCAACACCTCCCCCACCACATTCAGAACCCGACTTTTCCAACTCTTCATCGCCACATCACACTCCACATACTGCAGCTGCGGACTTTTCAGCAGCGGCGAGGCGAGACAACAGTGAGGACAAGCAACCGGAAGCTGCTGATGACCAATTTCTGGGTAGCTATTTTGTATGATTTCGGCGTAACAGCCGCACGCACCCTCCCTGAGAGAGGACTGCTAGATTTCCACTGTCATGCGTCAAGTTCTTTTTGTCACCTGTCCTTCGATAATTTACAGGCTTTGAATTCCACACATTTCAGACATTACACTGACGATGCCGCAGCCGTATGCCCTTGACCTGTCTTTTGCTTCTTTCT